AAATATTGCCCGTTCATACTCTTCTTGCGATCCCACCATCAACACTGACTTTCATTTACGCGTACAACCGTTTACGATACATTGAATTTAGAAATAATGCGCTGCATTCTTTATAACTACGATTATACAATAGTGCAGTACACGTTTATGTGCGTGGCACACTGTTGGCGATCTTCAATGACAACCTGTGCCTGAAACGTTTTGTATGCGATATGTGTACGATATGACAATACGGTCACCAGTGTCGTTTGCATTGGCTGCTCATTGCTAAATGTGCCATCACAGGTAACTTAACAACCTACTGTTGGTATAATGTCATAACTAGCAAAGTAAATACTTTTATCATGCAACTATGCGTGAAGATTAGTTTGAATGATGTGGTTTATGTTTACAGCATCTGTTTATTTGATCATTGATAAGAGTCTGAATCAGGGCTGGCAAATGTCATTTTCAATGAAAGATCTCGCGCGATATTTACAGAGATACTTCTGTCACTATCATGAGAAAACGATGATAGAGATTTTCTTCAAAATCTCATCGAATTTTTTGTCATGACAGAACGTGACAGTGTTGTGATCATCGTAATTACTAGCTCATTTAATGCTATTAAAGTTACTTGTACCGAGGAAACCTTAATAATGTATTCACTCTACCGATTACATACGGTTGTTAGCTTAAATTCATCTAAATCAGTTAGAAATGCTGACGTCAAAACCACATAAGAATTATTCTCATGATCATTGAAAAATGACAAGAAAGCTAATGATAGGTAGTTTCGTCTCGTGATATGAGAGGACCTGTTTTCTCATCGTCAAATGACGGCCGTGATATTTACCAGCTCTGGTCTGAATGTAAACAGTTATGCAGGTAGCCACGATAGAAGTTTTTTTTTGCTTTATTATAGAGACTTTCAGCCTGTAGCTGGTTCGTCTCTTACGGTAGAAGTTGTTCCAAAGTTGTTAGTCCAATTTTTTTACGCAAAAGACTAAATATAAAGATTGGCGTAAACGCCAAATTTTTTGTTAAGTTGTTAACTAAAGTTTGAGTTTTCGATTTTAGATTTTGATCTATCTTTTTCTACCCGTGACCAAATGATTCACAAAGCACATAATTATTCCAGAACTTTCTGAATGGTAATAATTTCCAAAATGTTGAATATTATACTTATTTCGTATCATAAAAATTAACCATGAGTATGATTAGAACAGAACTCACAGACGTATATATTCAAAAACAAACTTGAAGACTACTAGCCAGAATACTATTAGGCTGAATGGATAATTTTGCCGCAATTAGAAAAGTATGAGAAACTTGGAAATTGTTTCAGAAATTGTGTTTAATTTTTCGAGATTTGTTACTCAGATAATTTTTTGAGATCCTAAACATACCAAATAAATTCAAACTTAGATAAATTAGCATAGACCTGGATAATTTTTTTTAATGAATTTTAATTTTCTCAAACTTTTTGAATTTGAAAGAAACAAGATACTGGGCCTGCCTTATAGCCTAGTCAGTAAAGGTATGGCGGCTGGTTTGATTCCCGGTGAGAGAATCTTACGGGTCGGAAATTTTCTCGACTTTCCTGAGCATAGAGTATCATTGCGCTTGCCACACAATATACAAATGCATGCATTGGTATTGGCATCGACGGCTCTCAATTAATAACTGTGGAAGTGCATTTAGAGCACTAAGTAAGCTAATATGCGATAAGCAATAAGCCTGAAATGCGAATATGAGGAAGAAGATACTGGGTCTCTGAAAAATGTCAAGGCTCTTGGCCTTTGATGAATTTTCAGCAGAGATTGAAATTTTCGCTCAGCTGCAAGATAAGCTACGCATCCCTCAAGCTGCTTTGCGCAGAGCTGAGCATTGGGAATATTTTCATCTCTCATTCTTCAACGATTCTTCATTATCCTCTCCCATCCAAACCGTGAAAATATCGCTCTCTCAAAATCGATGAGAAAACTTTTTCATCTCCCATTTGATACCGAAAATATTCGCTCGTGTGTTGCTGGAGTCCGAGCAGGAATATGGAAATAAGCGTTTGAGCCGAATGTGACAGATTTTTTAACAAAAAAAAAAAGTTGGGACCCCCTTGTTTATTTTGATACCGTAAGGTTCTGTAACAAGTTCGTTAGCTCAAAACATAGGTAATTTTTCTAATTATTTTTTAATGAAACAAACTTGTTAAAGTACCTTACGTTATCAAAATAAACAAGGGGGTCCCTAGATTTTTCGCGATCAAACATCTGGTAAAGTGTCATTGCTGTTAACAGGTTAGGCGATGTGTATTTGTCGGCTCTTTTGTTCTCCTTTTCAACTAGATGACGTAGTTTGACATGGTTTAATGTCACACCCAGTCAACCATTTATGGGGTGTTTACATATACGCTGGATTACTATCGCTAGTGTACTAGAACTGTACTAAAAAGTATCCAGCATAATGTAAACAGGACGTCAGCATCTACCAGCATGAGATTTCAGAAACTACTGAAATTTGTGCTAGTTGGTTGAGCTGGTTGTGCTAGTGCACTAGAATAAGTGTAAACAGCCCATTAACGTGCTTTCACGCGCAGATTGGATGTTGGTTATGGGATTTTCTAATGGAGCGGCCCACCACAGACCGACTGCTAAACGTGGAACTTTTCCATAAGCGTTACAGAGGCGAATTTTGAAAAGCTTTGGATTGTTTGGGTCAAATGGATATGCTAAACGATTCACATAAAAACTATGCGCTAATTATTACATGAAAGTTTAAATTCAGACAGAACCGAGCCCGTGCCGTACGGGCAGTATTTTTGGCGATGCTGACTCGTGATTTGTGGCAGTAGGATAGAACAGGCTAAAATGCACCCCAGGGCAAAACGCAATATTGCTTATTAAATTTTTTTAATGAAGAACGGGAAAGCTATGAAAAACCACATCGAGCGTTTTGTCCCGAAGCGCATTTGTTACTGTCTTCCCGGTTTAGTGCTAGTTGTTTTTCTTATACCACCGCAATCCCAGTCTTTTACGACACGAGCTCAGTTCTGTCTGAAGACAGCTGAAAATTGGGTTCTCGAGAAGAGTGAAAAATTATCGGCTGTCACTACCAAATGAGCAGAAATTATCATGGATGCTTTTCTCGAGAGAATTGCTTTACGTGAACAAAGTTCGCTCGCTCTTTGCTTTATCTTTTCATTATCTGTACGGGTGAAAAGTTCCGTTTATCTTCTCACATCATATATAATTTCGATCTCTGATTTTCAAGATTTTGGTAATTTGAAAAAAAAAATTCTGGATAAATCTGAAAAGGAATGCTAAGGAATATTAAAAAGGAATCCTAATGATAATTTCAAGCGATTTCGGCTGTTGATTCATGGCGATTTCTCGGCGAAATGTTGGGATTATTTTTTAATGGATTTCTCATTAGGATTCAATGGTTATTGTTTGGAGAATTTCAAGTGAATTTGAATAATAATTCAAAGGAAATTCTCATGAGTTAATTCAAAGAGTATTCTGAGAACGATTTCAAAGAAGCCATGAGAATTCAGAATAAAAAACTATAAGAGAGTTGCAAGAGAATTCCGAAAAGAATTTCAAAGGGATCGTTTTCTGATGATAGCTACAAAGGAATTCTAACAAGAATTACACGGAAATTCAGAAGAAAATGTCAAGAGAATTTCAAGGAGAGTTGTATTCTGCTGATACAAAAGGGCCCGGCAACACACAATGTTTGACTTTATAACTTTTCACATTTTTTTTTATAATTGCAACCAGATTATCTGATAACATCCGAAGTTTCACATCTACCTTGAAATTTTAAGAAAAGTATTAAATAGGAATTACTTTTGTTCAATCTTATAGTAGAAACGATTGGTTTGGTATTGGCCTTTCTCGGGAAACGATAGACATTACAACCTTTGAGAAAGGCCGCACCAAAACAGCTGAAACGTCGGGAACGTAAAAAAAAACCAATTGTTTCTACTTTAAGACTGAGAAAGCCACCCCTAAAAAGCAATTGACATCAACCAGACGAAATCAGTGTTATAGAGGTTTTGAGATATTTAAATACAAAGCAAAAGCAAATTAGATACATTGGAGAAGTGTATGATATAATGAATGATAATTGTCTACCACTCATTGTAGCACAGAAACTAAGTCCGATAGCAGTGGGCGCTCCTCACTGTTTGATTTGATCAAGCTTAATAACCTCTGATTGTCCTCAACATGTCACTGTATGAAGTGCCAAAACGGGTTTGGTGGATCGATAGGTAAATTCACCTATACGCCTCCACGGGATGGTAGAGAATCTCCTTCCAGCCACATGATCATACAATTGGTGAAAAAACGAGCCGTCCGACAGAAGGATACCCCAATGAGTGTGGAGAAGAGCCCGCCCTTTTTTCCACGAAACATTAACAATAGGGAGTTGACAATTTCACTCTCCCCATCTAAATAGTTTCAATCGGGTGCCCTCTCTCCCAATCCCAGCATTGTTTTGCATATATAAGCAATAATAAAATTACAAATTTAAAACGATCTCATCAACTTTCGCTGTTTCTTCACTTTCTTCTGTCCAATTTTCGTGCCTATTTGTGAACTCGTTGTCCTTCTCTGCATCACTACTAGTCGCTACTAGTCTCCCGAAAGTCTCCTATGTTATTTCTGATGTGTTATACGATATTTCGACGTTCATTATTTTTGTATGACAATCTTGAGTTCCTATTTGCGTCTTATAAAACTGTAACACCAATGCGGAAAATGGTCAGTTTCTCCGGGTATTTTATTAACGAGCATCACTCCGTTGTCGTATCGCATGTGCTCCATTTTGCAGCTCTTTGTTCACGTTTACTTTGTTGACTCCATGGTACGGGAAAAGATATAGATATATACATTATTAGCAATTATGTGACATATGCACAACGGGATGGCCGCTCAAAATGGTTCAAGGATGTGAAATGAGGGAACATTTTAATTAAACACGATTTAAAGTATTTAAATGAAACATTACACACTAAGAACTTTGCGCAGTGGCGATATCGTAACCAATGAGGTACAACCGAGGTGCGATTATTGCTAGTTGAAAACTAATTACACACTAAGATTTTGTTTTCGTGTTCGGTAAATTTTACCGAAATCAGAACAGCTGAACGTTCGGTGAAACTTTGACCTTCATTTTAAAGGCTATTGAATTTGAAAATAATATCAAAACATGTTCAACCTTGTTTAAATGATCAAAATCTTGTCATTTTAGTGGAGATTTAGTTTCAAAGTAGCTGAAAAGCAATTGAATTGAATTGCATAAATTTTACCGAAAAGTTCAGAGTGCGTACACTAACAATTAACACATTTTTCATTATGTTATCTTAACTAATTTCTGGAAGAATTTACTTGTGTTTTATACAATCAGTATCAATGTCCCGTCATATCGTATCTTCAAGTGATCTTCGCAAGTGCCATATTTCATTCAGGCTCTTTGAAACTACATGTTCATCACTTACTCACACATGAAATCTGCCTCGACCAACCTGGCAGAACGCGCCCTAACCCTTATTAAACCAAAGGGCAGGGAATTAGATACATTGGAAACGTGTTGCCAAAACAGAACCCACACTGTAATTCCAAAGAAATGTTTTTTTCCCTCTGCTCGGGACCTAACACCACTGCGACAAGTAATTTGATCTATTGTAGTATATCCCGTGTCCTTAGTTTAGTGCGACATTATTCCATCATTATTGAGAATTGATGAAGTATTCGATTATTTTACAGTTGTTATTCTTGCATTTATCGCAAGGATCCGACTCTAATTGAAAGGTCCCACTCTTCATACCCTTCGGAGTGTTGAAACACCCTTCAAAGGCGCGGCGCCTTTTGTCAGTCAAAATTGGATTCCTTAGCAACAAAATTAAGGAATGACACCGATAATGACCATGCATCAGAACCCTAGTCTTAACCACTTCAAACTAGGGAACAACGAATGGACGATTAGGAATCACATAGATGAAGACAAATTAACTAGTTTTTCCTTGTTTCAAGATCATCCTCGGTGGACAAAGCCGAGTCTTGTCACTATCAACAAGGCATAAAAAGTAACAAGGATTAAGATGTGTTCCTTTGATTACTGAAAAATCCTGTTCTCCAAGTTTAAAGTAGTCAGGACTAGGAATCGGTGGTAGATCTTACATCCCGTAACGTACCACGGAAAGGTGATCTACCCACGTAACGGGCAAATGCTTAGATGACTTCCAAAGGAATTCTTATGAGGAATTTTCAGAAATTCCGTGGGGAATTTGAAGAGGAGAACCCCAAGGATTTGCTAAAGAAAATATCAATAAATTTCTGGAAGTATTCCAAGGTGACGCTTCTAAATTGAATTCCAAGTGAACTTTCAGAAGAAATCCAAGATAATTTTGAACTAAATACCTTGAAATTTCTGATGTGCAGGGGAATTCGCAAGGGAATACCAAGCTAGCTCCGAAGAGCATACAAGGAATCTTCAGAGAATAAAATAAGACGGATTGGAAGAGACTTGTTGATGCTGGGACATTAGGCCGAAAGTAATTCGGCTGGTCACTAAGCCGAATTTTGTAAAATTATTTCACTTGCGAAGAACATTTGCTGGTCTGACAAAGAGAATAAGCAGCACATAATTGAAGGAAAAATAAGGCTAAATGTCATGAAGATGAAGAAAAAGCTACTATAGCGATTCTTAGCCAAACTTAACTATCCAGTCAAATAGAAAGGTCTGTGAAAAGCTATGTTACAAATGCTTATTACAGCTAAAATGCTACTTTTCGAAATTACGAAACTATGAGATATTAAAATAATAATGTTTATACGTAAGATGCTAGAAGAGAAGGAAAAATTTGGTGTATGACAAATAAAACCTGTCATCTTACAAATAAAAAAATATCGTTATAATAGGGGAAATGGATGTAATGTCGGCCTAAATCCCCCTAATTTGGGCCCATACATGAATTAAGCAATGGACTAAATTTTCAATAGCGACCAAAAATATCCATTAGTACCGTCCCAATGACAAGTTCATCTAGATAAAATTGATAAATAGCAGATTTTTGGCGATGGGCCCAATCTTAGATTCATAGGCCAACATTAGAGTTATTTCCTCTACTTAAAAATATTGCATATTAATAATTTGACAAAATTGAATCTTTTAAATTTCAGGGTATGAAATTCCTTCTATTTCGAATAAACCTAAAACCGCCGTCCGAGATCTATCTAAAAGTCCCTAGTCCGAATAGTCTTGAAAAATATCAGTGTTGAAAATCTTAAAAAAACATAACTGTTTAAGAAAGCTTGTCAAATTTTAATTAAGTCTGTGTAAGCTGAAAACCATTTGGTCTAATGGTCGAACACTACTTTTAAACGAATTCCGATAGCTTTTTTTTGATAATTTTAAGAGCCTAATGGGGAAAATTATAACATCTACATCGAAATCAGCCTTGACTTCCCCTTAACAATATATATATTTGCATGCTGCATCAAAGATTTAATCTTTGCATGTGTCTGCCACAACTGTTTCCATACATACCTATACCTATACACTAGACTGATGCAAAATTTGAAATTTTCGATCCACAGTGCTTAAACGGTTCCGAATTGGGCCCCGATTAGCCTCCAAAAAATTTGAACTCATTTAGTAAGAAACTGACTTGGAACAAACCATTTGAAGTTTATATGGTAATTACTATGGAGAAACCATAATTTCGGTTCATATCAATATCAAAATTCACCAGTTCACTCTACTTTAAAAAAATGATAGCTGACCTTGTTAAATTTTTCCTCAGCTACAACTTTGTTGAAGACCGATCAAATGTAAGGAACAAAAATTATTAATGATTCAAGTCACTGATGTCTTATGATTATGCTCAATCAACTGTTCAGCAGGCAACATTGGTGTTTATGGCGCGTAGAATAGATGACCAAAATGGCTACTATGTCACACTGCAGAATACAGTGTGCCCACAATACAGTTGCTTAATCTTGCCATAATTTGACGTTTGGCTGACAAACGATTTTCTGCAAAATTGTAGCTGATAAAAATTCCTATAAGAATAGCAATAGAATTTGTTAATAGTACAATATGTAAAAAGGCTAGAAGACAATGAACAAAAAGTTTTGTTTTCCCATAGTAATTTCCATCTAAACTTCAAATGGTTTGTGCCAAGTCAGTTTCGTATCAAATGAGTTTAAACTTTCAGAGGCTAATCAGGACCCGATTTGAAACCGTTTGAACACTGTGGAGCGAAGATTTCAAATTTTGCATCAGTCTAATGACGTTAATTGCATTAACGGCTCCATGGAATCGTTTTGCTTAGTTAATTTAATTTCGTTTCAAATTTAGCTAATAACAAAAACTGTACATGTTCGTCACTGTCAGGATTGTCACTGACATTTGACATGGTTTACCTTGATGATGACTGTTAGCTCTAGTGAGCTATTTTGTAAATATCGTCGTGTATGGTCGAGATTTTGCAGCATTGGTCTAGGCAGACTGACAGTCATCATTGAGGGACTCTTCCTGAAGCACGACCCAACGACCTGCACCGTACAGCCGGCGCCGGTGGTGTAGTGGTAAGCGTGACTGCTTTCTCATATCCCAATGGGTCTGGGTTCAATCCCAGCCGAGGTCGGTGGGATATTTCTGAGGCATAAAAATCTCTGGTCACGTCTTCGTTCGGAAGGGAAGTAAAGCCGTTGGTCCCGGCCCATGTGTGTTGTTGGGTGCGATATCCTACGCAGGTGTGGAAGCTGCCTTCCTGCACATTAGATTGCCGTCAATGGATGGCAATCCATGTCCGTCGGTGATTGGCACTAGATGCGGAACAGAGACCGACGTTAAATAAAGGAATTAAGAAGAAGACCTGCACCGTATGGTGAGACAGAAAGAGACGACACTGGAGGAATACAAGCAGGGCGTCACAACATCAGCTCCAATCGACAAAATCGTTGCGACGAAGAGACTTCTAGCTTTTTTTTGTTGAATTCGTGTAGCTTCGCAACATTCTACCACCTTAGTCACTTCATTCGTCTTTCTCTTAGGTTTCTCAGCATTGGCTGGAAGCAGAATGATATTGGTTGCTTCTGTAATATGAAAAGCGAAACCTTGTAGCATCTGCTGTCAAGTTGTAGTAGTTGTTTACAGCTCAATGAGATTTGGTCTGCTAATCCTGGAAAGGTGGTTGGTTTCATAAACCACATCATACCTGACTGGAAACATGCCGAGGCAACCAGCTGATCACCCAATTAATCATATTGTCGAGCAGTTTTGGAACGACGTTCTATCAGCGATTTGTAGAAAATGAAGCTCTAAACTTCAGATTTTTCAAGCTTAGCAGGAATAAGACCTTATTTTCTCAAGGTTCTGGAAGAAAATTTATCAAAATATTGTTCCACTGCAAAGTTCGAGTGGTAGGAAATGTCGTTTTAAACAGCTCGAATGATGTAATCCATTAATGGTGGTTGGCTTACATGATACGTACAGTAAACTTACTACAAAAGTTCTAAACAATGGACGCATTAGTTTAAATTCCCGACAAAAAAATGGAATATACAGAAATTAGTATTGTTACCGAAACCAGGAAAACCTTCGATTACGATTGACGTCTAGAATGCACTTAATAGCGCCAGCTGGGAAGCCACCACCGAAGCGTTGCACATAATCCACCATAAGTGCAAAATTTATAATATTGTAATCGTGCAATAACAAGAACCACATTATGCAACCAAGTCGAATCGAGTTTTTAATATACAACCGTTCTTACGAAAAACGCTTCGTTTCAACTTCCCCAATAAGGCCTCAGAATTGAGTGTATTGTTAATAAAAAATCTTGTCCTATTTATAGGACATTGATAGTTTGGTGCCTCTGTTCTTATTATAGAACACAGGGCGGATATGAGTTAAAAGAAGTTGGGATTATCGGCAATGTTAATCATAGAAATTTAAATTGCTTTTCAAATTCCGGCAAGATTTAGCATAATCATTATATTAAAACCGGTTCCAAAATGCGTAGAATCTTCTAGTTTCAAATTATGTGTGTCTATTAGACTGATGCAAAATTTGATATTTTCGCTCCACAGTGCTCAAACGGTTCCAAATTAGGCTCTGATTAGCCTCCCAAAATTTAAACTCATTTAGTCA